CTTGAATGCATTGTTAATATTGTAGTATATAGACTGCACTATCTTTGTTTGGTGTTAAACATTACCACTGGTTACCTAATGCAGACATGAGTCTTCTGTATAATATCATCATTGTATGCAATGGTCAATGTTATTTTACATCAATTTGGTAGTACCTTATAATGAATGTAATGGTTTTCTGACAACTCCTGTGTATTCTTAAAAATATGCTCCTTCATCATTACTGTTTATGGTCATGCATTTGATTTTCATTTGTATTCTATTTTATGAAATAATTGTGGACTGACATCACTGGCCTGTTATAAAATTGCTCTAGGGGATCAATTTTAATTGAAGGGCGGGGATGTTGTGTATATGGTGTCAGGTCAGGTGACGTCAGGCCACTATTCCGGAAATATTGACTTGTACGTTTTTGGTTTTTAGTTTAGTTTTGATTGAGTGAATAAAATGGTCGAAATGGCAACACGTGTGTCATGTTTCAATACCAGAATAAGTTCGTCTAACCTCTCATTCCCCAAGCAGACGACACTACATCGGTACGGAAGTAGCTGCAGATCTGTAGCGTTATGGGTTTTTTTTATATTTGGTCAAAGACAAATATAAAAAACCATAATGCTACACATCTGCAGCTAGCTGCAATAATGTAGCCCTCTCCGATTTTTTTTATCTGATATTTTCTGGAGAGGGCTACAATTCCATCGCATCTCTGTAATGGTGCAAATATATTTTTTTGATACAGGTGATTGGTGGCAAAATAAATTATTTTTACATAAAACTTACTTCTTATAAGACGGAATTTTATTCACTGTCAACAACATAGCCTGTTAAACTCGAAAACCATGTAAAATAAATCTGTGTCTTTCCCAGCTGCAGTTCACGCGTGACGTAGTGAGACTTTCGCTTGAAATTTGGAACAACCAAATAGAGCAAATGTCGATGTTTATAAACGATTGTGCTTTAATATATCACAAATAAATCGATAAATAAAACCATTTCAAGTGTTATTTTTGCGCAAACAGCGATACGTATGCTTAAAATAAGGGAATTCCTAGTAGATCCGCTCCTATAGAACCTAAATTCTCATTGGCTGTCCCAAAATACAATCCATCAAGGTCAGTAAACATGGCGGATAAATTCAAGTTAAGCTGTTGACACACACGAAAAATAACCAATATATGGGTCGTTGTGAATATTTTTGGATCGATTTATGTTTTGCATAATTACATATTTGGATTCATGGTAAGAGATAATAATAAAATAGCCGTTTACTGATAATTTGAGCCGAAATCCGTGCGGGAGTGATCCACTGCCGCATCTGCGCCATTATAGAGATCCTAAGGAGTTGTAGCCCTCTCCCAAAAAAAAAAAAAAAAAAAAAAACAACGGAGAGGGCTACATTATTGCAGCTAATCTGCAGCTAGTACGGAAGATAACATTTTAAGACCTACATCACTGGAAACAAAAAAATCTTTGGTTTCTCAAATTCATGTATTAATAAATAAAACAAATATCAAAATGTTTAAAACTCTCTCTCTCTCTCTCTCTCTCTCTCTCTCTCTCTCTCTCTCTCTCTCTCTCTCTCCAGTTTCACCCCTATTTATAATAAGTTCGCTGGTCTAAAACAGTAATAGTGGTATACCAGGCCAAAGACCTACAATGCTAAACATTGAAAAAAAAAAAATAAGTGCATATCTATTGTGGAAAAAACTGGTTTGCTTTTATGTTTTTTTTTTTCTCACCATATATATCAAAATATTAACTAACCTTGAGTTTCTTACATATTCCAATATTTACACCATTCACAACAGAACTGTATGTGCAAGTCATGCATCAACCAAATATGACAGTATACAGGGGCGGATCCAGTCATTTTTGAAAGGGGGGTTCCAGAGTTGTGCCCCGCTAACCCCCCTCCCCCATACACACACTCTCTAAAGGAAATATTCACACACACGTTTGGAAAGATTTAAGGTTGTGGTAATAATAACTGTTTTACGTCACTTTATTCTTTGAAATGATACTGCACCTCTAGTCCGAATAAAAAAAGAAGACATTTTAAAAACTACCGATGCCTTAAAATTGAATGGATTTGCAGCATTTCCGAAGAGTACAATGACTTTTCTTTTTAGAATTTGAAAAAAAAACTTTTTTGGGTGGGGTTAAACAAGAAGTTACAAGTTAGTTCCTTCAAAAGATATATGATCAAAAAACGGTACATATATAGCCAAAACAGCCACAGATCGCGGGAATCTATATCAAATTAAACCTCGCATGTTACATATCAAATATCATAAATCAGATATATAAAAATAAGTAGAATATTTTCTACCTTTCTCTCATAAAAAAGTAATCGTGAAGATGAATGGGGGAAACTTAATCGTGAGAATCTATCTATTTAATACATACATGTAAAGTTAGACTACAAATATTTATTTTCTGAAAACGCTGCTCCCCTCTCTCTCTCATTCTTTCTCCCTCTCTCCACTTAGCAAAAAATAAAGGGGGTTCCAACCCCTGGAACCCCCCCCCCCTCTGGATCTAACAATGAGTGTATTACCCAATTTTCGATGGACTCAATATATCAGGCCCAGAAGGGCTATGAACAATTTTTTTTTGTTGTGGGCGTAGTAAATGTGCTAGGAGAACACGGTTAGGGAATTGTTTAGGTGGTAGCATAATTTATATAACGGAGAAATACTAATAAATGGGGAAAGTGCGCTTTTGTGCACAATAAGCTTCCTGGACGGACATCTTTATTTTTTCCAGCTGCATTCCAGCGAGCTACAGATCTGCAGCTATAATATAAGATGTTGTTACTTAGCATAATTGGATAAAGCAAAAAGACAGACAACTTGAAAGCTAGAATAATCATTGTGAGAAAAAAAGAGACACAATTTATGTTCATCATGAAAAAGTTGTTCGGACAAGTTTTTTTTTTTACATGAGCAAGAGAACCATTTGCGGTAAATATATGTACCAAGATCAGTTCTAAATGCATGCATAAATCTCTTAGGAAATTAAACGTTTTTTATGTACGTGGGGGGGGGGGGGGGGCAAACAGTGAATTGAAAAGTTTCTATGAAATTGTACACAATGACAAATATAATTTAATTCTAAATTCTACACCTATTTTCCTTTCTGACCGGCAAGTTTCAACGTGAATCAGTTCATTTGTACATAACATTGTATACAAGTATTTCTTATTTCTATTAATATTATAATTTCATTTTCCTGGGTTCATGACTTCATTGTTCATGTACTTTTTTGCGCTACATTTTTTAAAAAACTGATGACTTATTATATATTTAATTCAACCTCTATTAACCGCTTTGGATATTGATGCAGTTTATGCATTAGAAAAGTCCATGGACAATTAAAAAAAAGTTTACTGATACCTTTCTTTACCACGAAACAAATTAGCCAGAGTTGCCACGGACAGAAAACTCCTTCTCATTTAAGATTTGGGAAAAAATCTTATTTCATATAAAAGATCTTGAATAGGTAAATTTGACATACACAAGAACATGCACATTTTAAAATCATATTTATTATATACACATGTCATCTTCGCTAGCCGAGGGTTTCCGATCCGAAATCTACTTTACAAGTAGAATAGCTTTCGGATTGGAAACCCTTGGCTAGCGAAGATGACATATATGTAGACTCAACCCAGGTTCAAACTTTTACGGAAAATGATTGTTTACCAACTGTATACGTACTGTTCTTTATATTAGCATTTAAAAAAAAGTTCCCCTTTTTCAGGAAAATATTGTTGGCGAGGAATTTATTGGAAACAAATAATACAACTGCAGATAACTTGGGCAATACTAAGCCTGAATTCTACGTTATCCAAAAAATGTAATTCTTCATCATTGCCCAAAGTTAAAATTTCGTTTATAGTTCTGAATCCATATCCGATGTTTTATCATCGTGTTCCCTTTTCTGTCAAGGAAGCCCCCCCCCCCCCCCCCCCCCCCCCCCCCAAAAAAAAATGCAAATACAGACATAATATAGGCATGGGGAATTATTGAAGTTTACCTTTTCATGTTTGTTTAACCCCCCCCCCCCCCATTTCAATTTACTTCCGACCCATGTTTCCTGTATTCATGCATGAACATTCTGTAAGTGAGAGAGAGAGAGAAAAAAAAAAAGAAGAAAAGATTTGGTTACAAAATATATTAAAATTTTAAAAGAATATATAATTCTTAATGTTGCATTCAATATATTCAGAGTATTTTCATCTGGGTAATATTTTCCCAATCATATTCTAAGGTAAAGTAATACGTATGTATTTCTCATAAGCTAAAATTCACGTGCTCGTAAAATTGCCAAGTTTCTTTAAGTATTGGGTAAAAGAGTGAAAACATTGGTAAATATTGAGCATAACTTTTTTTTTTTGAAAACATTGGTAAATATTGAGCATAACTTTTTTTTTTTCTCCAACCATGTTAACAGACTAAAACCTTTTCCCGTTCATTTCCGCAGGATGCAGGAAAACATTCTCCATGCAACCCCCCCAACAGCCGCCACTCGAGTGATTTAAATATAGTCACATCTCGCGAGACTTAACTTAGAATATAAAAATATTCTAAGTAAAGTCTATGCTCAATATGACCAAGTTTCTTTAAGTATTGGGTAAAAGAGTGAAAACTGGACAAATTATCCTCATAAATTATTAAGCATGTTTACATAACAACTCTCCAGCCTTACCCAATACTCACCCAATACTTAAAGAAACTCTATATCTCAAAATTAACAAAAGAAAACAGCCAAAAATTTAATGCAAACAACATCTTTATTTAGCTCACCACTAAACAGGCAATATGACAATAATCATCTCTTAGTAAGATATGAGGAAACGATTATTCACCCATTAAACTTTTAAATACTCTCTCAGACTGGTCAAAATCACTTGTCGCAAGCTTAGTCATGATATTCCCCACAGAACCCCCTTCGAGCATTTTCCCCACCCTACTATATCTTTTATATGAGGAATTTGTAGCCCAACCAATATGTTCCATTACTTCCCCTGCCACTGCACCAGAAGTTGCTAAAGTAATTGCACAAGCACCTCTAATCCCATGTGGAGTTTCCCCTTCATCTATTCCCAGAACTGACAAATAAATTTTCAAACGTTCAAACATAGTACTTGAGGATACCGGGTAGTCAGTGACTGAACCTTTTGAAGGATCAAGAGTACGGAACAAATAACCTGTTTTCAAATTTACACCCATATCCAAAGAACCCTCAACATAGGATCTATAAGCCATCACAGGACAGAGCAAACTTTCTTCAACCCTAGGAACCATAAACTCATTTACCTTTCCCGTGCCTAAAGTCTTCCCTACTGTATGAGAAAACATAAGGCCCTTACCATCTCCCAAAATGATAACCTCCTGCGATAAACTTAAACCAAGATCATGTGCCCTATCCCCTGAGAAAAACTGTATCTTGAAGAATGCCTGGTCCCGAAGTAACACATAACGTTTTGAAAGGGACAATTCGGGGTTTTCCAACTGGCTTGCAATATATTTTGATATATCCTTAAGCTTCCTAATAAACAAAGGTTTGGCTTGTTGTACACAAACATGTGACTTAGATTGTTCCAACTGTATCGCTTTTACATATTTTTTAACACTTGAACAACATACAGGGTTACCAATATTGTACCTACTATCCCAATCAAACCCTTTCCCATAAGAAGCAAAAATAGGTTTTAGTTTTCCTAAAATTGATCTTACTGTGCCTACTGCAAGTCTGTGAGGACACCCACATGCAAATGAACCCTTTTTCCCAAGGAACTGACAATTAATATCGTGCACCTGAGTTTTCCCGTTCTTATCTTTTAGAACAAGAAAATGACGAATATCCTCAGGATTTGCATCTACTAATCCTTTCCCATCTCTATACTCTCTTAAAAAATAAGTGAATTCCTTCTCTAAAGAACATTTCTGGCGACTATATGCCGTATCATCTACCAAATGATCCAAATAACTTAATCGTCTCTCCATTAAATATTCCAAGGTAGAAATCTTTTCCCCCTCTGAATGTTTTTGACCACCTCCACAGGTAAAATCTTCTTGGCCTTGAAGAGTATATACCTACAAAATATTCTAAGAATTGAAACACAAACGTGCTACAATTAAAGACCACTTCAGACCTACCCTATTAACTGCAAAACCTTTTTTCCCTGGAAAGTATAATGCATTTACCTCCCCTTGTACACTCAAAATTTCTGACCTTTTAACATGAGAAAAATAAAGAGGCCACCAAACAGGTCTAGGTAAAATGTCTGGAATAATAATAGTCACACCCTCTACTTTTGATTCTTTTAAAAACTTTAAAAGAGGGAAAATGAGACCAAAAGGGGGGAACACATAAGGATTCCTTTCAAAGGACAAATCCTGTGAGAACACATTAATGCCCGCTGACAATTTTGTAGGATAAGGAGTAAAATGTCGCAGAGGATTTCCATCCCTATCTTTCATTACATTTGAATCAACTGCCATAAGATCTACAGAATGAGGTCCAAACAAATTCTCAACAATTTCCCATTTTACTTTAGTTAGCATGGAATCTGAACTTGACAATTTCCTAGACTCTTCATCTGCTGGATTTTCTTTTGTTGGGATGTATTTCAAACGAAGGTCAAAATTTTTCTGACAAGCTAAGTGAAAAAGTTCTTTTAAGACCTGATTAAGTGAACTGTCCCTCCCACCCTGATTACTCCATGCAGCTACAACAGCTTGGTTGTCACAAAATGCGTCGACCCTACTATTTTCAATCTGAGAACAAACACACTGTAAAGCACACAGTAATGCAGATGCCTCCTTCACGTGAATAGGTCTTTGATCACAACCACTCCAAAAATCTCCAAATTCTTGGAAATCCCCCTTAACAATCAAACATGCACCCCATCTATATAGAGAAGAATCTGTTGCAAGGACAACTTGTAGATGTTGTTCTTTTCTCCAGGAAGCAACACCTTGCCATGAATCTAAGAAATTCCAGAATTCCAATTCTTCCCTAAGTTCCTTATATATGTGTAGACTCTTACTATTCCTACTCAAAATACTAATTGCCTTATTAACCTCTCTTGAAAATAATCTGGCGGCAGGGACTGCCAAAACCATAGAAATGCACTTTCCTGCAAAACGCTGCAGCGTTTTCAAATCAACTGTCTTTTCACAAAGAATTGAATCTCTTAATGAACAAAATGATGCCTTCTTATCAGCTGGTAACCTAAAAGCTAAAACACTGGAATCACAAATCATCCCAAGAAACTTTATGCTCTGAGATGGGACCAAGACACACTTTTCCAAATTCAAGAAATAGCCTAATCGTACAAGAATCTGACACATAATATACAAACTCCTGCGAGCTGCAGAAACACCACTTTCCTGAATCCCCTTACCTTGAAATTCACCTATCAACCTATCATCTATATAAAGAAGTGCTGGTATACCTAGACCACGACAATATCCAACTGGCACATAACCAGTAGTATGGTAAATATAAGCACTAGCCTTAAATCCAAAAGGGATAGTATTGTAAACTAAATACCATCCTCCAAACTGAATTCCAAAATAAGTCCTACATGAAGGCTTTAGTAAAATGTGATCATAACCAGACTTATCATCTAATGAGGACATGAACATGTCCTTCTCAACCATCCTAGGAACTTCTTTCAGAGTGTCTAACTTAAAGGGGAAATCTTTTATCCAGAGGTTTAAAAAACGCTCATCATGACACATTCTCGGTTTTGAAGGTTCAATAGTAATTGGCATAACAAGGATAGGTGGCTCTACCTCCCCAACCCTGCCTAACACTGTAAGCGACCCATTCTCTATTCTTTCCTCTAAGGTCTTAACAATAAATTGGGTATGATCCTTACAATTTAAAGCATTGGGGAAATATGATGGGACTGGTTGATCTGCATTGTAAGATTTTCCTTTAAAATTACCCTTAAAATGTTTAAACATAGGAAAAATATCAACACCATTCTCAATCCAATCAAGAATAAATGATGGAGTGCCTAATCGTTTCCATTCTGATACATTATGAGAAAGACTACCAGCTACAAAAGATTTTGGATCTCTGAAAACTAAATTACTGAAAACAAAATCATCCTGTGACAAAATATCCTCTGCTTCTGTTATATGGGATAAAGACTTGACTGTCTCTCCTTTGATATCAATCCAAACAACATTTCGCTTCCTAGCAGTAGCACCAATTGGATCAAATTTTGACTCTAATTCCCAATCCGGAATCTTAGGAAAAAACTTATGCCTCTTGAAATCAATTATCTCCTGAAAAATTAAAATAATAGCTATAAAATATACAAAGGAGAGACATCAAATCTTTACCCGTTTGAGAAATAAATTCCCAATAAGGATTAAAATCCCCTGGGCAAAAAATTGATGTCTTACTGCCTACTCAATGAAAACATTACTTCTTAGAATTATTAACAAGTTTCGGGCAGCCAGAAACAAAATGCCCAAATTCCTTACAATAAAAACAAGTACCAGGACTAGATTGTTTCCCCTTCTTAACAGAAGCAGACCGCATTGGAGGTCTTGGACCATAATACCCTTGGTGCATAGGAGGATAAGGGTACATCATATGCTGATAAGGAACCTGATTTGGGTAAACTGGACTAAAGCCAAAAGTAGGATAGGGACTACCCGATGAGGCTACGTTCTCTTTTTGCTTCAACCTACTTTTTTCAGATTCTTCGTACTTTTTAGATTTTGCCCAGTCAGCTACAACTGCTGCTATCTTTTTATCCTCCTGTGTCCCAAACAATTTTAAAACCAACCCACAAAAATCTTCGTTATCCTCATACCTTTTACAAATTGCATACGATTTGCTAAAGAGTGAAGCATCTTTGTGATTTGCCTTATTAGCTACTTCAATCAATGTTTCAATCGCTGCCATCAAAACATTATGTGATGTCAAATTGGGACGACTTGCTAGACTTCTAACACTTGACAGAGCATCATCTACCTGTAAGTCATCTCGTCTACTCTTCAACGCTTTAAGATCCTCTTTCATACTCTTAAGCTGATCCTCCAGTCCTTCTCCATCTTTCTTGCCAGCCATATCTACACAAAAGTCATATATACATTCAAACATGTATAAGAAAACCTGTTGACTTAATATAAAACCAGTTCTCAAATTAAATTCCTATTTATCACATAAACACGACAAAACCAGATAGATAAAGATATACCTTGAGAGTTACCACTCGAAGATCCCGAGGGTTGATCCCTTTGGGCAGTTACCGTACTACTTGAAGAGCCAGAAGCATTGTCACGTGAGGTAGAAGCAGTAGCAGTTGCCTCTAGTACCTGGCCCCTAGGAGCCCCAACCGTATTGGCATGTTCAATAGTGTAACTCATGAGGATTCTTACAGTCTCAATATTATCCTCCTTTCCTGCCAACATCAGAATATCCTTGACTGACTCTCCTGTCAGTTTTTCAAACTCTGTTCTGAGTTCAGCCAATGAGTAATCCTCTAAAGGATATCCTCTTTTCAACCTGTAAACACATAAAAATTCCTAATTTTTATATATATATATATATCATGAAGGCATGCATTATAATATATTGCTCACCTGGCCAACGTCAGATCCTCCGAATTACCATCTGAAGCTTTCAACTTCAAAACTACTGGCACCAAACTTTTTCCAATTAAACTGTGCCTGGGTTTTAGCACCACAGCCATTCTTACTTCGCTCTAAAAACGTCAAAAATATAATATTTAAACATTCCCAATACTTAAAAAGATTTTTTTTTCTTACACTAGTAAATATCACGAATTCTCAATATACATAGACTCACTGTACACTTAAACCAAACACGCACGAGATTTTACACCTTGTAATACCTCGTCACACGCCGGTGAACACCACTCGCCGGACAAAATTAGTTCACCGAAAAGTATAAATAACACAGTCCAAAACAAAATTTCAAGAATAGCAAACATGTATTCACAAATTTTACTATCAAAATCACTTATAATTGAGTCCGATGGAAAATGTCCAACAAAATCCCACATAATAAAATGCTCCTCGCATTCTACAGCTGTTTGAATTACATTCATATAACAACAGCTCACACATATCCAGATTAAAACCATGCAAATCAATTATAAAGAAAATTCCATTATCTCTACATAAAATAACGGACCCCCGGTCCATTGAATCTTACTCTTAAAACTGTATGAACCTCCAAGGTTCCCGAAAGCAAATTATCAATTTTAAATTCACATTATAAAATGGACCCCCGGTCCACTAAAAAACAACAGTTCTCGGCCGAACCTACCAACTGTTTCACCAAAATATATACTAGCACCAAGCTAGTATTACAAATAAAGTAAATATACTTACATATGACGACGCTACAGCTAACAAAAACTGTTGGGCAGCGAGGCAGAAACTGCACGGACGCCGCCACTCGAGTGATTTAAATATAGTCACATCTCGCGAGACTTAACTTAGAATAGCTATCGCAGAGAAGAGAAATATGGCACTTTGCTCGAGTGATTTAAATATAGTCACATCTCGCGAAATCAACGATACCTAAAGAGAATTTTTAATTATGTTTAATAAATATTAACAGTGATTAAATATCAGATGTATGCTATAGGTCCCCCGAAGTAGATCAATAGATACTTACCGAAAGAAAAAAAAAATGAAAATTGGCAAAAATAACGTTCAAAAACAGGTAAATAAAACAATTCAACCTTGCATATAAATAAATCAAGTATGCACTTTTCCAAAAATACATGTATTTTCAAATGTCCAAGTATTTTTAGCCGAACAATGGATAGCTCGCAGACACTCTAGCGTGAAAGTGAATAGATTTAAATCACGTGGTCAATGCTTTGTTATTCATGAGGTCAATGACGGGTTAAAAGTTGTAAACAAGGTAGCTTTACTATAGAGACAAGTACCCGTGATTTTGAGGTTTTTGGTAAAATAACACATGAGCGCACGATTGTTTCAATTTCTTTCATGGATGTAAATGATAAAGTATTACTTTTTACGTTGTCCATAAAAACGGCAAATTGAAAGATCAATGCGCTCATATAAAAAATCGGCTTACAAAATGGGGGTGTGGCCTAAAGTCTATGAGAAATTGATGTAAACAATGTACCCCTGCTATATTAATCAGAAAAATACCTAATTACAGTTTATGAAAGCAAATTCTTAAATTGAAATTAATAAACTTCAATGTTTAATGGAAAGATTGGGGCAAAATTATGTAGAAAATCTTAAAGTTATTTTTTTGTAAATATTTGGGGGCGTTCAGATTTTAGAACGCAGTTCGCAGTTCGCTATTCGCAATTCAAAAGTGAACTGCGTTCTAGAACGCAGTTCGCAATTCAAAATTTAAACATACGCTGTGTGGTCTGAAATTTTGGGGGTGGGGTTCTAGGGGCCAGATACCACTTCTATGAAAAAATGGTGATGGTACCATTTCTAGTTTCCGAGATATGGTTTTCTAGTTTTTAGCCCTACTATATAATACTATACGAAGAAACATCGGGCTCGGGGACATCGAAGTCCCCTACCCTGGGGTCTGAAATTTTGGGGGTGGGGTTCTAGGGGCCAGATGCCACTTCTATGAAAAAATGGTGATGGTACCATCTCTAGTTTCCGAGATATGGTCTTCTAGTTTTTAGCCCTACTATATAATACTATACGAATAAACATCGGGCTCGGGGACATCGAAGTCCCCTACCCTGGGGTCTGAAATTTTGGGGGTGGGGTACTAGGGGCCAGATGCCACTTCTATGAAAAAATGGTGATGGTACCATCTCTAGTTTCCGAGATATGGTCTTCTAGTTTTTAGCCCTACTATATAATTCTATACGAATAAACATCGGGCTCGGGGACATCGAAGTCCCCTACCCTGGGGTCTGAAATTTTGGGGGTGGGGTTCTAGGGGCCAGATACCACTTCTATGAAAAAATGGTGATGGTACCATCTCTAGTTTCCGAGATATGGTCTTCTAGTTTTTAGCCCTACTATATAATACTATACGAATAAACATCGGGCTCGGGGACATCGAGGTCCCCTACCCTGGGGTCTGAAATTTTGAGGGTGGGGTTCTAGGGGCCAGATACCACTTCTATGAAAAAATGGTGATGGTACCATCTCTAGTTTCCGAGATATGGTCTTCTAGTTTTTAGCCCTACTATATAATACTATACGAATAAACATCGGGCTCGGGGACATCGAAGTCCCCTACCCTGGGGTCTGAAATTTTGGGGGTGGGGTTCAAGGGGCCAGATACCACTTCTTTGAAAAAATGGTGATGGTACCATCTCTAGTTTCCGAGATATGGTCTTCTAGTTTTTAGCCCTACTATATAATACTATTCGAATAAACATCGGGCTCGGGGACATCGAGGTCCCCTACCCTGGGGTCTGAAATTTTGAGGGTGGGGTTCTAGGGGCCAGATACCACTTCTATGAAAAAATGGCGATGGTACCATCTCTAGTTTCCGAGATATGGTCTTCTAGTTTTTAGCCCTACTATATAATACTATACGAATAAACATCGGGCTCGGGGACATCGAAGTCCCCTACCCTGGGGTCTGAAATTTTGGGGGTGGGGTTCTAGGGGCCAGATACCACTTCTATGAAAAAATGGTGATAGTACCATCTCTAGTTTCCGAGATATGGTCTGCTAGTTTTTAGCCCTATTATATAATGCTATACGAATAAACATCGGGCTCGGGGACATCGAAGTCCCCTACCCTGGGGTCTGAAATTTTGGGGTGGGGTTCTATGGGCCAGATACCACTTCTATGAAAAAATGGTGATGGTACCATCTCTAGTTTCCGAGATATGGTCTTCTAGTTTTTAGCCCTACTATATAATACTATACGAATAAACATCGGGCTCGGGGACATCGAAGTCCCCTACCCTGGGGTCCGAAATTTTGGGGGTGGGGTTCTAGGGGCCAGATACCACTTCTTTGAAAAAATGGTGATGGTACCATCTCTAGTTTCCGAGATATGGTCTTCTAGTTTTTAGCCCTACTATATAATACTATACGAATAAACATCGGGCTCGGGGACATCGAAGTCCCCTACCCTGGGGTCTGAAAATTTGGGGGTGGGGTTCTAAGGGCCAGATACCACTTCTATGAAAAAATGGCGATGGTACCATCTCTAGTTTCCGAGATATGGTCTTCTAGTTTTTAGCCCTACTATATAATACTATACGAATAAACATCGGGCTCGGGGACATTGAAGTCCCCTACCCTGGGGTCTGAAATTTTGGGGGTGGGGTTCTAGGGGCCAGATACCACTTCTATGAAAAAATGGTGATGGTACCATCTCTAGTTTCCGAGATATGGTCTGCTAGTTTTTAGCCCTACTATATAATGCTATACGAATAAATATCGGGCTCGGGGACATCGAAGTCCCCTACCCTGGGGTCTGAAATTTTGGAGGTGGGGTTCTAGGGGCCAGATACCACTTCTATGAAAAAAAAGTGATGGTACCATCTCTAGTTTCCGAGATATGGTCTTCTAGTTTTTAGCCCTAATATATAATACTATACAAATAAACATCGGGCTCGGGGACATCGAAGTCCCCTACCCTGGGGTCCAAAATTTTGGGGGTGGGGTTCTAGGGGCCAGATACCACTTCTTTGAAAAAATGGTGATGGTACCATCTCTAGTTTCCGAGATATGATCTTCTAGTTTTTAGCCCTACTATATAATACTATACGAATAAACATCGGGCTCGGGGACATTGAAGTTCCCTACCCTGGGGTCTGAAATTTTGGGGGTGGGGTTCTAAGGGCCAGATACCACTTCTATGAAAAAATGGCGATGGTACCATCTCTAGTTTCCGAGATATGGTCTTCTAGTTTTTAGCCCTACTATATAATACTATACGAATAAACATCGGGCTCGGGGACATCGAAGTCCCCTACCCTGGGGTCTGAAATTTTGGGGGTGGAGTTCTAGGGGCCAGATACCATTTCTATGAAAAAATGGTGATGGTACCATCTCTTGTTTCCGAGATATGGTCTGCTAGTTTTTAGCCCTACTATATAATGCTATACGAATAAACATCGGGCTCGGGGACATCGAAGTCCCCTACCCTGGGGTCTGAAATTTTGGAGGTGGGGTTCTAGGGGCCAGATACCACTTCTATGAAAAAATAGTGATAGTACCATCTCTAGTTTCCGAGATATGGTCTTCTAGTTTTTAGCCCTACTATATAATACTATCCGAATAAACATCGGGCTCGGGGACATCGAAGTCCCCTACCCTGGGGTCCGAAATTTTGGGGGTGGGGTTCTAGGGGCCAGATACCACTTCTTTGAAAAAATGGTGATGGTACCATCTCTAGTTTCCGAGATATGGTCTTCTAGTTTTTAGCCCTACTATATAATACTATACGAATAAACATCGGGCTCGGGGACATTGAAGTCCCCTACCCTGGGGTCTGAAATTTTGGGGGTGGGGTTCTAAGGGCCAGATACCACTTCTATGAAAAAATGGCGATGGTACCATCTCTAGTTTCCGAGATATGGTCTTCTAGTTTTTAGCCCTACTATATAATACTATACGAATAAACATCGGGCTCGGGGACATCGAAGTCCCCTACCCTGGGGTCTGAAATTTTGGGGGTGGAGTTCTAGGGGCCAGATACCATTTCTATGAAAAAATGGTGATGGTACCATCTCTTGTTTCCGAGATATGGTCTGCTAGTTTTTAGCCCTACTATATAATGCTATACGAATAAACATCGGGCTCGGGGACATCGAAGTCCCCTACCCTGGGGTCTGAAATTTTGGAGGTGGGGTTCTAGGGGCCAGATACCACTTCTATGAAAAAATAGTGATAGTACCATCTCTAGTTTCCGAGATATGGTCTTCTAGTTTTTAGCCCTACTATATAATACTATCCGAATAAACATCGGGCTCGGGGACATCGAAGTCCCCTACCCTGGGGTCTGAAATTTTGGGGTGGGGTTCTAGGGGCCAAATACCACTTCTATGAAAAAATGGTGATGGTACCGTCTCTAGTTTCCGAGATATGGTCTTCTAGTTTTTAGCCCTACTATATAATACTATACGAATAAACATCGGGCTCGGGGACATCGAAGTCCCCTACCCTGGGGTCCGAAATTTTGGGGGTGGGGTTCTAGGGGCCAGATACCACTTCTTTGAAAAAATGGTGATGGTACCATCTCTAGTTTCCGAGATATGGTCTTCTAGTTTTTAGCCCTACTATATAATA